CCTTGGAGTTTTTGGGTTTGGGGGGGGGGGGTGGCTCTGCAACTGACCTGGCTGCTTCTTGCTCTGACTGAGGGCTGCTGGGAGCAGGGGCGGGGCTTGTTGCATGTGCCCGCCCCCTGGGCTCCTTACTGCCGGAGCTCCGCTCCTGTGCGCTCCTGTAGGAAATGACCCCCGCTGTGACGTATTTACATAACGTTAAGAGACAATGCAAGACTTGATAGGCCATTTCCGTCTGAGCCGATAAACTCCCTTCTTGCAGAAGCACTTGGAAAACGACTATGGGGAAACCTTCCAAAGCGTAGTGGAGGAGCTCTTCTACGATTACCTGTGGCAGCTGGAGAGCACACTGCCCAAGCCCCGTTTCCAGCAGGTATGAGTTGGAACGATGCATTTCCTGGGCCCTAATTATGTGCTGGCCCTTCTGTCTCGCTGTTTTCCAGCCGTTCAGGGGCGGGGCTGTCACTCTGTGGTGGAGTTCCCAGTTTGCATGTGGCAGGTCCCAAGTTCAGTTCCCTGGCAACGGTTGGGGAAAAAAAGGTCAGCCGCAACAGAGCTGACACAAGCCATGGCCAGACCGACGCTGCCATTTGGAGTGGACGGTCTTGAGCAAGCGGAAGGGAATGCTATAGTTGAATGTCCTAAAGTGAATTAAAATACTCTGATTCTGCTGCTGGTAGGTGGGGGCTGGAGAAAGAAGGGGAAAGAGCCTAAAACCCCGGGTAAATCTGAGAGAGAACTATGAAATAGAATTCATTATTTACTTCATTCATAGCCCACCTCTCTCCCAGTTAGGGTCCCAAACTGACTTGCATTGTTCTTCTTTCCTCCATTTTATCCTTACAACAACCCTGTGAGGTAGATTAGACTGTGAGTGTGTGCCTAGCCAAGGGCCGCTAAGCCAGCTTCTATGATGGAGGGTAGATTCGAGCTTGGGTCTCCCCGATCCTAGTCCAAAACTGTAACCGCGACACCGCAGATGCTTGTGTTGTGTGTACATGCAAAAGTATGGATAAATTCCAATCAGTAACACCGAGAAAGGTCAAACTAGAGACACAAAACCGCATGACTTGTAAGAGAATGGAGAAGTTTCAGCCACAGTCGGGTAAGGTTGAACTTTGACAAGGTTCAAAAAGCGGAACTTGGATTTCAGACTCTGACTTCGGAGGTTGAATCTTGGCTGTAAGAACGTTGAAAAGGTGGCATACAAACACTGTTCCCTCTAAGCTGAGTGAGTGTGAGCCAGCTCACAGTTTTTTAGGTTCCGGCTCACACATTTTTGTCTTAGCTCAGGAAGGAGGGCCCCAGAGCAAACTAATTTATTACAGTAGTCAAATCGCTCGCTCACAACTTTAATGCCAGGAGCTCACAAAGTAGAATTTTTGTTCACAAGACCCCACAGCTTAGAGGGAACATTGCATACAAATATTAGAAATACAGAAATACAGAAATTGAACTGTAGCTACATCCTTAACCAGGATTAGCACTTGAAGCTGAAGTCAAGAGTTCAACCTTACCCTGTATGCACAGTGTTGGAAACAAGAATGAACACCAGAAACAGAAGAATGGATACGAAAAATTCTGTCCATGGCAGAGATGGACAAAATTACGAAGAAACTGAATAACAGGGAAGATCTTGACTTTTTTGAAGAATGGAATGACTTTAAACTTTATCTAGAAAAAAACTGGGATGTGAAGCACAATTTACTATGTTTAGAACAATATTGAGATTAATTGATGTTATCTTAAGATGTACTGGGGGGTCAAAGGGGGAAACATTGCGGGAAGCCACCAGGAGGGAGGGGGGATATGGGAATATAGGTATAGGTTTAAGAATGATAATAGTTTTTTTTTTAACTGTAAGAGGTTATTTCCATGAAAATAAAAAATTCTTTTACCAAAAAAGAGTTCAACCTTACCCCTCTGAGTGTAGCTGAAATTCAGCTCAGTGTTGTATGTCATTTGATCTTACTTGAGATGTGATGGTCCGGGGGGGGGGGGGGAAAAAAATTAAAAAAAATTCCCCCCCCCTGAAGACTACCCTCCCCCCGTTTTCCCAGTGGAAAAACTGGAAATGCCGGGAAACACTGATGAAGCATTAGAAGATCTCATGAAATATATATTTTTTCTGGAATGAATGAAATGTTCTTTAAGGCCAGTTTTACTCTCTCAATTTAAGTGGTGCGAGGATGCTTTTACAAAAACCATTCCCAGCATTAAAAATGGTTGTCCCTGTGTGTACTATAGACGTGCACAACGTATTTTCCTGGGTATATTTGTTTAAACATCAGTATAAATTCTCCGCTATTAATTTGCTATAAAATCTAGGGTACCGTAGTGTTCCCCTGGGCGCCATGTTGGGGGATCAGTGTGCTAAACCCAGAGGAGGGACCGCTTTTCCCCCTTCACCCGCTGGACCCACAGCCAAGCAGGGAGCTGTTAGCCTACAGTCTCGTCTTTTGGAGTTTTGTCTTGCACTGCCTCTGGCTCGGCCCTGACAAAGTCTGGAAAAGCCCCAATTCTGCATTTTCCTCTCCAGCTGCTGAAGGCCGCTCACACGCCGGATCCCGGCCAGTCTTCCCCCGATCCCAGTATCCTGTGCAGATACCTCTCAGACATGGGGTACCAGACCACAGGTGGGTATGCGGGGGCTGCAGCATGCGCCAGCGCTGGTCATTCCGTCTTCTCCCCTGTTCAGTCCCGTCCGTCCTTGTCCTCACCAGTGTTCCCTCTAAGCTGAGTTAGTGTGAGCCAGCTCAGTTTTTTAGCCTCCAGCTCACAGATTTTTGTCTCAGCTCAGGAAGGAGGGCTCCAGAGCAAACTAATTTATCCAGTAGCCAAATCACTCGCTCACAGCTTTAATGCCAGTAGCTCACAAGGTAGAATTTTTGCTCACAAGGCTCCACAGCTTAGAGGGAACATTGTTTTTTGAACAGTGTTTCTCCCTCCCAGAGTTCTCCACACCTCCGTGCTGTCCCGGCCAGTCCAGGCCCGTGTACCAGAGCGAGGACAATCAGCAGCAGCAGCCAGGGACATCCGAATCCAGGCAACCGCTGAACCCGCACAGGAGCAGAAGAAAGAGGAGCTGCCCGCCCTGTGCGCCGGAACTGTAAGCACCTCCCAGCCCCGCCTCCTCTGCCCCCTCCTGCTCCTCCGACCCTGCTCACGGCATCCTCTCTTCCCACTTCCAGGGATTCCCCGGGGAACCACACAGGCCTCCGGTTGCCAGGCGACCACGAGACAGGTAGGTCTTGGTACTTCCGTGCTATAGAACTCTGCCATGAGGTTGACGATAACTGGTTTTTCTCTTTCCCCACCTTCAGGTATGTTTGTTTAATTCATCTACACCCTGCCTCTCTCCCCAATGGGGACCCAAAAGCGCTTACATCCTTCTCCCCGCCTCCGTTTTATCCTCACAACAACCCTGCGAGGGAGGTCAGGCATGATTTGGGAGGAGCTGGCTCCAGCGTTCTGCCGGGAGGCGTGTCAGTAGCCTCTTTCCTGGCACAGCCCCTCTTCTTGCCACAGGAGCCGTTTGTCCCCCCCGCCCACCTCATGTCTCTCTACCTTTGTCTGTGTTTGGCTGTTCTCTGAGCCAGTTTGGGGTAGTGGTTAAGTGTGCAGACTCTAATCTGGGAGAACTGGGTTTGATTCCCAGCTGCTGCTGGATGACCTTGAGCAAGCCATGGTTCTGATAAGAGCTGTCCTTGAAAAACAGCAGTTTCTTTCAGAGCTCTCTCAGCCCCACCAACCTCACCAGGTGTCTGTTGTGGGGAAGGGAAGGGAAAGGAGTCTGTAAGCTGCTCTGAGACTCCTTTGGGTAGTGAAGGGCAGGGTATAAATCCAATCTCTTCTTCTTGAACTGTCTTGTCTCTAGTAAGGAGGGGAAGGGAGACAGATTGCCAAGGGGAGCTAGTTCTGGGCCTTTTATTTATTCCCTTATTTCCTCCATGTATACCCCCCAACAGGGACCCAAGACTACTCACGTCATTCTCCTTTCCTCAGTTTCATCCTCACAAGAACCCTGTGAAGTAGGTTGGGCCAAGAGTGCGTGACTGGCCCAAGGTCACTCCCAGCAGGCTTCCCTGGCTGCGTGGATTCGAACCCGGGTCTCCCGGATCGAACACTCTAATCAGAAAGGGCAGGAAAAGGCAGCTTACGAATGACATTGGCGGAAGAGGCTGGGCCCTGCACTCCCCTCAGCCCTGGGCCTTTGTCTCTTGAAGCTCCACCTGGCGCCGCTCAGAGGCGTCCTCCCCAAAAGGACAGCAGGCAGCTTGCGGGCTCCCCAGGCATGTTGAATCACCCCAGAGCCCACTGGCCACAAAACCACCCCCTCCCCTGGGGAAGATGCGGCTGGGGGCGGTGGCGTCAGAGGGCACAGCCGATCCAGCCAGGGCAAGCGCGCGCCCCCCCAACTCTGCCGTCTGTCCTCTTCGCAGGTGAACCTGACGACATCGTGGCCGATTCAAGTGGCGAAAGGGAGAACTCCCCTTTCAAGAAGGTGAGGCCAGATCCGGCAGGGAGCTGTCGGGGCGAAGGGGGGGCTCGGGAGACCTCTGGAGGAGGCCCAGCTGAACGGGGAGGGTGGGAACAGCAGAGGGGAGGGGGTGGGGCCCAGGTGGACCTGAAGGTGGCCTGGCAGGCTGTGTCGGGAACGCAAGTGGGTCAAGGCCTGGCTGGCTTGAGGCTTCCCTGTGGTTAAAGGGGAGCAGCTCAGTGTGTGTGTGGGGGGGGAAGCTCCAGGCACTGGTGACCAGTGTTCCCTCTAAGCTGAGTCAGTGTGAGCTAACTAAGTTTTTTTTAGCCTCCGGCTCACACATTTTTGTCTCAGCTCAGGAAGGATGGGGCTCCAGAGCAGAGTAATTTATGCAGCAGCCGAACCGCTTGCTCGCAGCTTTCATGCCAGGAGCTCGCAAAGTAGAATCTTTGCTCACGAGACCCCACAGCCGAGGGCAGTGTTCCCTCTACGCTGAGTTAGTGTGAGCTAGCTCACAAGTTTTTAGCCTCCAGCTCATGGATTCTTGTCTTAGCTCAGGAAGAATGGCCCCAGAGCAAACTAATTTATGTAGTAGCCAAATCGTTTGCTTACAACTTTAATGGCAGCAGCTCAGAATGTAGAATTTTTGCTCACAAGACTCCACAGCTTAGAGGGAACATTGGCCGAGGGGGAGCGTTGCTGGTGACCCTCCTCCCTTTCCCCCAGCAGAGCGAGTACCACTGCACCCGCCACAACACCCTCATCCCGACTTTCCGCGACCACCTGGTGGACACCGAGAGCGAGTGAGTGGTCCTCCGCAGCCGGGGACCCCTGAACACTCGGTTGACCAACAACCCCTTGACCAAGAGGTCCCTTTTCTTCTTCCTCTCCCTCCCTCCAAAGACCCGATGCTTTCTCAGACGGGGAGACTCCAGCCGAGACCTGACTGCCCCCTCTCCCTCCTCCTCCTCCGCGCAACCCGCACACAGCTGGGCCAGCCGCCCGAGGTCACGTCAGCGCTTTTTATTATATAATTTCAGTAAAGACTGTGAAACCTTTGACATTTCTCTCTCCGTCTGTCTCGCGACCCGTCACAGGGAGGGAGGACGGGAAAGCGGGGTTGGGGAGCACCCTCGCTCACGGGGCGGGGACGCCCCCCTCCCCAGGGTGCACACACTCCACCTCACACACACCCCCCACGTAACTGGAGCTGGGGGGGGAACCAGAGTGTGCACTGGAATGAACCAGGAAATGGCAGCGGATCTCTGCCTGGAGTGAAGAGGGCCTGCGTGATTGGTCGGCGTCTGGAATGAGAAGATGCTGGACGTCTGGCCAGTCTCCGCTCCCAAAAGGTAGGCGGATGGGGGTCAGTGTGTGAGCGACCGGAGCCGCTTCCTCCCAAGGCGTCGCGTCAGGGCTGGTCCCCCTGGTCGAAGATGGGGTTGGCCTGCTGGGTGACCCGGATGAAGGTGGTCCTCCGGCTGAGCTCCTTCAGCTTGGCGGCCCCCACGTACGTGCAGGTGGAGCGGATGCCCCCCAGGATGTCCCGCAGGGTGTGCTCCACGTCGCCCTTGAACGGCACCTCCACCACCTTCCCTTCCGAGGCCCTGCGGGCGAGAGGCAAACGTGAGCAGAGGACTCCCCTCCCTCTCGGGCTGGGTTCCGGGGGAGGCGGGGCCTTCCCAAGGCATCCCTCCATCACCAGGATTTTAGAAGAGGAGGAGATTGGATTTATACCCCGTGGCCCTTCACTCGGAGTCTCAGAGCGGCTTGCAAACTCCGTTCCCTTCCCCCTCCTCGCAACAGACACCCTGAGAGGTGGGCGGGGCTGAGAGAGCTCTTGACAGAAACTGCCCTGGAGAGAACAGCACTGAGAGAACTTGTAACTGACCCAAGGTCGCACCAGCAGCTGCATGTGAGGAATGGGGAATCGAACCCGGTTCTCCCAGATCAGAGTCTGCTCTTGACTTCTACACCAAACTGGCTCCACATCGGTGTTAAGAGTCTCCGGGGACAAGCCAAGATGCTGCTAGACTATACTACAGAGGCCAGAAAGGCAACCCAGTGTTTTAGGGCAGGGGATACTGGGGCTGGGGGGCGTTGTATTCCAGAGTGCCCCCAGCGGATCCCCTGCCCCTTCCGTCCCTTCCTGCCAACTGCGTCTGAACCCGCCTCGCCCCAAGCCCTAGGGACCGTCCTTCCCAGCCAAACCAACCTTTCCCTTCCCTTGCACAAGCTGTTCTTTCAGTATTCTAGCACTGGTGCCTTTGCCCTGTATTGCATGAACGTTCCTGGATGTCCTGTGATCACTCGCCCAGAATCAAATTTCAATCTATTCTCCTTAGGGCAGGAACTAATGTTAACAGGACGGGGGGGGATAAGGAGGAGAGGAGGAGATCAGAGCGGCTCACAAACTCCTCTCCCTCCCCCTCCCCACAACAGACACCCTGTGAGGTGGGTGGGGCTGAGAGAACTCTGACAGAGACTGCTCTTTTTCAAGGACAGCTGTGCCAGAGCTTGTGACTGACCCAAGGTCACACCAGCAGGTGCAAGTGGAGGAGTGGGGAATCAAACCCGGTTCTCCCAGATTAGAGTCCGCACACTTAACCACTACGCCAAACAGGAAGTGAGGATCCTGAAATTGAGTAGAGCAGAGTTAACGGGCGGGGGGGGGGCATCTTAATATGCTGAAATGGTTTGTGGAACTCACTGCCATAAGGGGGGAGCAATTAGCCATTAATCAACCAATCCCTAGAGGATAAGTTAGGCATGCTGACCAAATGAAATCTCTCTCCCGATAGGCACCATGTCTCAGAGTGCTGATTCACCGGGGGGGGGCTGTTGCCCTTGCATTTGTTCACTGATTTGTACCCCACTTTTGGGACTCCAACTGGCTCGGAACATTGCCCTCCCTTCCTCCCTTCTCTCTCGACAACAATCCTGTGCAGCAGGCCAGGCTGAGAGTTCCATGGCCACCCAGAGAGCTTCTGTGGTAGAAGCGAGGCTTCGAACCCGTGTCCCTCAGGGTCCTAGTCCACCACTCTGTCCGCTACGCCCTGCTTGTAGGTGTCCCCAGAGGCCACCATGCCTAGCCCCCACAGGGCCCTTCTTCTGCCCCCGGGGAGCCGTACCTGTATTCCGCGACGCCCCCCGCATATTTCTTCATCGACATCTCTGAGCTCATGCCGTAGAACAGCTTGTACTTCTTGCCCCCCTTCTCGATCAGCTCGCCCCCTGACTCGGTGTGTCCAGCCAGCATCCCCCCCAGCATGACAAAGTCCGCGCCGGCTCCTGGGAAACGAATCGCAGCAGAGTGAGCTCTGGCCCCTGGGGGGGGGGGGGGGGGGCCTCATCCGAGGACGGGCTTCTGCCTCCTCCCACAGAAACGAATTCATCATGCATTAAGAAGAAGAGAGAAGAGAAGAAGAGATTGGATTCATACCCCGCCCTTCACTTGGGAGTCTCAGAGCGGCTTACAAACTCCTTTCCCTTCCCCTCCCCACAACAGACACCCTGTGAGGTAGGTGGGGCCGAGAGAGCTCTGACAGAAACGGCTCTTTTTCAAGGACAGCTGTGCCAGAACTATGGCTCACCCAAGGTCATCCAGCAGCTGCGAGTGGAGGGAGTGGGGAATCAAACCCAGTTCTCCCAGACTAGGTTTACAATCTCCTTTCCCTTCCCCTCCCCACAACAGGCACCCTGTGAGGTGGGTGGGGCTGAGAGAGCTCTGACACAAACTGCTCTTTTTCAAGAACAGCTGTGCCAGAGCTTGTGATTGACCCAAGGTCACATCAGCAGGTGCAAGTGGAGGAGTGGGGAATCAAACCCGGTTCTCCCATATTAGAGTCCGCGCACTTAACCACTACACCAAACTGGATAATTAATAATTATCATATGGCCTTGCATGTCGTATAGCCAGGAGATCCTAAGATTGTCTGGCAGCCAAAAGCGTTACGCACCACTAGGGGGCGAGCTAGACTTATTTGGGGGGGGGGGCTGAGCCAGCTCTGAAAGAGGTGGGACTGAACCACGGTCGCCCAGCTGGCTTCAAGAAACTAGCTGGCGAAGCGGAAAGGACGGGGTCCCGTACCGAAAGCCTTGGCCACGTCCCCCGGACAGCTGCAGCCGCCATCCTGCAAAAGATACGAGACGGGAAGGGACGGTTTTGCTTCTTTCATCTCCAACAGACTCAATAACCAAAAGGAAATCTTACATCCATATCAATGGGTCAAGAAGGGTTGTGCAAGTCCCCCCCCCCAGCTGGGGGCACACCTCGGCTTCAAACCTAGCCCACTTTGACAGCTTTACAACTGTCTGGATTTCCCTCCCTGCAAACCGTAGCTTGGCGAGGATTCTGAAAATCAGAACTGAGCAAATGAACAATAGGAGAGAGACGGGGGCTCAGTGGCAGAGCCTCTGCTTGGCACGCGGAAGCTCCCCAGGTTTCTTCCCGGGCACCGCAGGCCGTGATAGGAAAGACCTCTGTCTGGGACCCTGCTGCCAGTCTGAGTAGACAATATTGACCTTGATGGACCATGAGTCTGACTCAGTACGGCAGCTTCATGCATAAACATTGGGAAGGGGCTGTGGCTCAATGGTAGAGCCTCTGCTTGGCATGCAGAAGGTCCCAGGTTCAATCCCCGGCATCTCCGGTTAAAAGATCTGGCAGGAGGTGACATAAAAGACCTCTGCCTGAGACCCTGGAGAGATGCTGCCAGCCAGAGCAGGCCAGCCTGACCTCGATGCACCGAGGCAGCTTCATGTGTGTTCAAGCAGCAGAAAGAGTTGTTTTAAATGCTTGTTTTGTAAACCTGGCATCCCGGCATTCTGTCGCCAAGAAGAAGAGATTGGGATTTATACCCCACCCTTCACACGGAGTCTCAGAGCGACTTACAATCTCCTTTCCCTCCCCCTCCCCACGACAGACACCCTGTGAGGTAGGCGGGGCTGAGAGCGCTCGTTCGAGGACCGCCCTTGAGAGAACAGCTCTGGGAGAACTTGTGACTGACCCAAGGTCACACCAGCAGCTGCATGTGGAGGCGTGGGAGAATCAAACCCGGTTCTCCCAGATTAGTGTCCGCGCACTTAACCGGTACGCCAAGGAAGATACAAGAGTTTCTCTGGATGGTCTTGTGCCGCTCAGCCAGAGCGCTTTCACTACTCATCCGGCCTCAGCTCCAACGATGCTCCCCGCATCCCCTCCTCTCGCCCACGAGTCCCCGCCTCGCACCCAGAAACTCTGGCCTTGGGGCTGGAGCTCCTCACCGAGATGATGTGCCCCTTGAGGCCGTGGGCTGCATCGGCGCACTCCATGACAGCGCTCAACTGGGGGTAGCCCACTCCCGTCTTCTTCCGCGTGGTACAAACCGAGCCTGGAGCAAGCCAAGAAGTCCGCAGTTAGGGAGGTGGGTGGCGGATGCCCCGCTGTGGCCAAGACCATATAGTCATCCCCGTCGATCCTTGGCCACTAGCAGGAACGCCACTCCTTTCACGTAATGTGAAACGGCTGCAGCGGTGGGGCAAACGGGGCTTCGCCCCCTTTCTGAATCAAAATCCCACTCTGCCATAGAGATGCCTCGGCAAAACAATTGGGGGGGCAGTGTCCCCTCTAAGCTGAGTTAGTGTGAGCCAGCTCACAGTTTTTTAGCTTCCGGACTGCACCTTTTTGTCTTAGGAAGGAAGGCTCCAGAGCAAACTAATGTACGCAGCAGCCAAATCGCTCGCTCACAACTTTTAATGCCCGTAGCTCACAAAGTAGAACTTTTGCTCACAGGACTCCACGGCTTAGAGGGAGTGTTCAGTTGCCTGCTGGTTTGCCAAAACTGGGCTCCCTTTTCCAAAGGACAGAGGGAGAAAAGGCTGCCAAAATCTGCAACCCCTTCCGGAAGGATAAAGGACACTTGGGCCACTTCCCCATTTTCCAGTTCAGCTGAGGCCGTCTTGCTGTGCCCCTCCATTTCAAAATGTGCTTATTCACTTAAATGTAATTAAATTAGAGTATTCCCCCCCCCCCACGATGACCCACACAAACAAAAAAATTCCTGGCTATGGGGCGGATGCCAGCCCTCCCGCCACCTCCCCTAGACTGGCTTGATCGTGTCTGTGAAGCTGACAGTCACCTGGTCCAATGCCCACTTTGATGATGTCGGCTCCCGACAAGATGAGCTCTTCCACCATCTCCCCTGTCACCACGTTACCGGCCTGCGGAGGACACAGAGAGACACGGAGATCAGGCAGGCCTCCGCCGAGAGGACCAAGAGGCTAGACTTGCCTGAAAATATCCGAACGGCTGTCATTTGGAGGAGGGCCAGGAGCTGTTCCCGTTGGCAGCAGAGAAGAGGACCTGAAGCAACGGGTTGAAATGACATGCAGAAAGGTATCGGCTGGATATTAGAAGAAGAAGAGATTGGATTTATACCCCTACCCAAAGGTGTCTCAGAGCGGCTTACAATCTCCTTTCCCTTCCCCTCCCCACAACAGGCACCCTGTGAGGTAGGCGGGGCTGAGAGAGCTCTTGACAGAAACGGCTCTTTTTCAAGGACGGCTGTGCCAGAGCTTGTGACTGACCCAAGGTCACCCAGCAGCTGCGAATGGAGGAGTGGGGAATCAAACCCGGTTCTCCCAGATTAGAGTCTGCGCACTTAACCACGACATTAGGAGGAGGAGATTGGATTTATGCCACACCCTTCACTACCCAAAGGAGTCTCAGGGCGGCTTACAATCTCCTTTCCCCTCCCCTCCCCACAACAGACACCCTGTGAGGTAGGCGGGGCTGAGAGAGCTCTTGACAGAAACTGCTCGTTTTCAAGGACAGCTCTGACAGAACTATGGCTTGCCCAAGGTCACCCAGCAGCTGCGAATGAAGGAGTGGGGAATCAAACCCAGTTCTCCCAGATTAGACTCTGCGCACTTAACCACGACACCAAACTGGCTCCAAACTATCAGGAAACACTTTTTCACGGTCAGAGTGGTCCAAAGGTGGAATCAGCTGCCTCGGGAGGCAGTGAGCTCCCCTTGACTGACAGCTTTCAAGAAGAGGGTGGACAGAGATTTGTCAGGGATTCTTTAGGCTGGTCCTGCATTGGGCAGGGGTTGAGACCAGTGTTCCCTCTAAGCTGAGTTAGTGTGAGCTAGCTCAGTTTTTTAGCCTCCGGCTCACACATTTTTGTCTTAGCTCAGGAAGGAGGGCTCCAGAGCAAACTGATTTATGCAGTAGCCAAATCGCTCGCTCACAGTTTTAATGCCAGTAGCTCACAAAGTTGAATTTTTGCTCACAAGACTCCACTGCTTAGAGGGAACATTGGACTAGAGCAGTGATGGCAAACCTTTTAGAGACCGAGGGCCCAAACTGTGACCCAAAACCCACTTATTTATCACGAAGTGCCAACATGGCATTTTAACCTGAATACTGAGGTTTTACTTTAGAAAAAACAACTCATACATTAACTTAAGATGATCCAAACAAAGTAAGGAACGCAATCCCAAATGCTTTCATCTACTTAAAATGATTTGGCAGAGAATTCGACACTTTAATGATGGTCTGGGCCTGGCTGGGGCGATGGCACGCGTGCCCACAGAGGGCTCTGAGTGCCACCTCTGGCACCCGTGCCGTAGGTTCGCCACCACTGGACTAGAGGGTCTGTAGGGCCCCCTTCCAACTCTGTGATTCTATTCTATGAAACGTGCCACACGGTAGAGAGGAGCAAATGGAGGAGCTGCCACGCCGTGGGTACCTTGGTGGTGGCGGTGGTGGTGGACAGTGCCGTCGAGTTGCAGCCAGCTCACAGTGAGCCCCTAGAGGGCTTTCAGGGCAAGAGAGCAACAGAGGCGGCTTGCCCTGGCCTGCCTCTGCGTAGCAACCCCGGACTTCCTTGGAGGTCTCCCATTCGAGAACTGCCCAGGGCTGTCTCTGCTGAGCTTCTGAGACCTGATGAGATCGGGCTCGCCTGGGACACCCAGGTCAGGGCAAATGGTGGTGGAAAGGGCCATCCGGTTTGCAGGCCACGATAGCTGACCGCATCAGGCTTTCAAAGCAAGAGACAAGGAAAGGGGGCTCGCCCTTGCCTGCCTCTGCACAGCAACCCAGGACTTCCTTGGCGGTCTCATTTGCATAACTCATTTGCATATGCCACACCCCCTGACGTCACCGGAAGTGTGTCAGAAGGCAACACCCACCACTCAGGCTCCACTGGACTGTTTTGGATTGCTAGCTGTTGGGGGGGGGG